GCTGAAGCAAAGAAGTGACCAAAAAATTGAGGACCTGATTTGGCAAATGCTTCATTATACAAATTACTCTGCTTCCAGCTCACAATTCATTTTGCAGAGCATCAAGAAAGACTTTTTAAGTCTTGTGTACTACATTCAGGGATCATATTCTTGAAAATGTTAAAGACTTTTTCAGATAACTTTGGGCACTCCTGAGTAACAGAGCTCTTACTCTGTGTTTGGATACAGAATACAGCATATGATGCATAAAGTACCACAGCAGTATTTTTTTCAATTATAAATGATCTATCACATTAGATTTATCAACACTGGCCTAGAGTAATACCAGTATACAAGTCCAAAATAGAAGCAAGTCTTGGCATTTCTCTGTGTAACTTGTGAAGCTCTCAGAAGTGTCTGGTATTTTTGAGAAACACTAGAAAAAGTGCATAATATAAATTATCATTCCTGTGTTCTAAGGATTCAGTCTGAGTTATCCAATTGCACATGTAAGATTTTTGCATTACTCAGAGCAAATTCCTGTAAGGCTGTCATATAAATATTTTATGGTTTATTCTGCAAGACATGATTCTCAACCAGCAAAAGCTGTTTATGGTTTTTCCTGTACCAAATAGAGCCATTTCATGACATAAATTTAATAACAGTACAGGACTCTAGCAAAGAAAAAACTCTTCGCCTTACATAATTTGAGGTTTCAAGCTAAAACGTCTTTATGCATTATTTATTTTCCATGGTTAATAATTGCTGCTGTTTCATTACATTAACCTCAAATAACTGAAGCAAAAAGCTTCCTCTTAATGCCTTCTCAAACCTCTTGCTTGAATCTTCATCCCCATTTGCATTTTTAGACCCACAATCTGTATGCTTAGGAACTGCTTTGTTAGAATGCTAACAATAGTACAATTTGGGAACAGAGTGCTGCTTTCTATTGAGTGGAGAAAAGATATAAAAATAGATTAATATTACATTCAACCAGGCAATAGAGGAATGTAGATCAGCACTTTCTCTCAAACTACCAAGTTCAGATAGAAAAGTCATGTGCATGGAGCTGGGAGTGACAAACTGCAAACGGGATGTTTTCATGCTGCCTAACTTCAGGCATCTGTCTCCATATGCACCTAACTGAATCATTCAGAAGCTTACGCTCCTTCGCAGGACTTGGGGAAGCTAAGGATCTTGTTCTAAACCCTCCTGTGCAAAGGGTGATGTCTTCCTCCCCACTTCTCATCCTCCAAGGATCAGTGCAGCACATCCCTGACACCCTGCACAGAATACAGATCCCTAATGTGCTGTTCCCATTGAGTTTCCCAGCCAATAACGCTGCGAGCCCCTCAGTAACTTACAAGAGTTACACGAAAATCCAGGCGCCGCACTGTGCTGATCAGCAAAGTGTTTGCACCTGCAGCGGATGGGCTGAGAGCCATTGCGAGGGACATAGTGGTAGGAGCGGCACGGGCAGCGCCTCACCCTGCACGGCACACCGATGGGACGGGCTTTGGGAAGCACTTCATAGTCTGTTTTGTGCTGTTTATACCTGAAACAGGCAAAAATAATAACTTGCGTAACCATTATATTGCTATTGTCAGAAAACTAACTGAAAGGCTTACCGTTTACTTCGCAAGTTTGGTCTTGAAGTTTCTTTAATTATGTTCATTTCTATTGTTAGTTTTCAATTACATGCACAATATCAGGTGCTTTTACATCTATTCATTACACATCACAGACCCTTATGTTTTACTTTGACAGCACTATCAGAATCTGATCTACAGTAACTCGTACTTTAAAGCTGAATTGATTGAAGACTACAAAACTATTTTGGTCACAAAAAATGTATTGAGACTTAGATTTAAGAAGAGTTCCTTTTATTTAAACCCCAATTTTTCAACCCTTAGACCTTAAATTAACCTGTCTATGTGGTACTGCAATGTATTTGGAAATATTTTACATTTTCCTGATTTTTAACAACAGAATGGTGTAAAAAAAGGAAAGCTACCTACCGGTGAGTACAAAAGCACAGTGTCTCTGGTCCCACAAGTTTACAGTCCATGCCAGTGGGTGACCTCCAGCTCACATACAACCTGTTCTGTAATCGAACTGGTAATATTTTTCTTTTGTACTCCTCATATTCCTCAGGAGTAAAGGGTTTTCCTCCATCATCATCACCTACAATTCTGTAAGCATGTCATAAAAAAAAAAGCCATAAGCATAGGAAAACTAACTATGGTGAAAGTTAGTTTATTAATGTCTGCATATATTTCAGTTATTATTTGTTGGGTGTGCTAAAACATATTTTAATGAGTGATTCTTTGTCAAATATTCCATGGATTTGTGCATTGCCAGTACTGCACAGCAACAGAATAATGTGCCAGCATATCACTGCCAACCCAGCTAACACCCACTGAATCACTGAATATCTGCTTACGTAAGAAACACCACTGTGCCTACCTCTGGTGTTTTACTCAAGGTTTTCCTACGCTAAATCAGGATTGTGTTTCAGCACGGTGACTGAGTTCGTGTTCGTTTCTGCTGAGCTCTTAGAGAGGAGTGCTGATGAGATTAGCAATGACACCGAGCAATAAAAGGGATTTAATACAGCGCAAAACTCGAACTCATGATCATAGAATCATAGAATTTTAGGGGCTGGAATGGACCTTAAAGATCATCTAGTCCCAACCCTCCCTGCTTTGGCAAGGGACACCTCCCCACTAGACCAGGTTGCTCAAGATTTTATCCAGCCTGGCTTTGAACACTGCCAGGGTTGGGGCATCCACCTGGGCAACCTGTGCCAGTGTCTCACCACCCTCACAGTGAAAAACCTTTTCCTAGTACCTAACCTAAATTTCCCCTCCTTCAGTTTACACCCATTACACAGAAGTCTGTGTTTTCTCAAAGAGCAGCTGGCAGATTATCACTGAATGGTTTGGGTTGGAA